CCCCAGCCCCACCCTCTGCATGTGCCTGTTCTAACTTGAAAGAACAGTGGCATCTGTTAAAGATGAGACAACAAACAACACTGTTGACCAATGTTTAAACATGATTTTGGTGCCCGTTGGGAGGTAAGCACCACAATAGATCAAAAGCTATAATTATCCTAAGTTACTGTATGTGCAGAAATGGAGATCAAAAAGACATGAACACACCTTCTGGGAAGTCTGATGATCTGCCTTCTTCCTCCTACGAAACAAAGTAATTCCAGTTTATCTACATATTTTTAATCTGGGCGTAACTTAGAGCTATATAGAGTTGGAAATGTCTGATTCAAACATTGTCATTGTTAAGTAGCACAATGGCTCAGACTGGAGCTCAATTGGAGAAATATTCCTGTTCCATCTGTTTGGATCTACTGAAGGATCCGGTGACTATTCCCTGTAGAGGACTGATGTCTCAGCGTGATCTAGAGAAACTCATCTATGCATTTATCTTTAGCCGCATTGATTACTGCAACAGCGTCTTCACAGGTCTGACTAATAAATCAATCGAACAGCTGCAGCTGATCCAGAAGCTGCTGCTGTTCTCACTGAAACCAGGAAGATGGAGACAACACCAGTTTTAAAGTCCCTACACTCCCTGTAGCTCAAAGAATAGACTTTAAAATACTGTTAGTTTATAAATCACTGAACGGTTTAGCACCACAATACATTAGAGATCTGTTATTGCTGTACCAACCATCTAGACCCCTCAGATCTTCTGGTTCTGCTCTGCATCCCCAGAACCAGAACCAAACGAGGAGAAGCAGCATTCAGTTTCTATGCACCACAAATTTGGAACAAACTTCCAGAAAACTGTAAAACAGCTGAAACACTGAGAGCCTTTAAATCTCGACTAAAGACCCACCTGTTTAGAGCTGTATTTGAAACGTAATCAATTACAAATTTAATGATGGCTCTTGACTTAATGTAATGTTTTCAGTGTTGGTTCTATGTTGCATGACGTTGTGTTTATTATGCTGACTATTTAAGCTCAGTGAAATGCCTTGCTGCTGAAATGTGCTATACAAATAAAATTTGATTGATCGATTGATATCCAGGTTGCAGTTATCCCGAATGCTTGTCCAGTTTATTTCCACTACATATTTTCTTCCCTTTCCTCTGTCTCAGTGAAAACAGAGCTCTGTGCACAGCCAGCTTCTTTAGCAATGACATTTGTGTCTTGCCCTCTTGTGCACGGTGTCAAAGGTCCTGTTTTGGACAACTGTCAGGTCAGCAGTCATCTCAATCATCCTATCAACAGTAGGATGGGCTGTCAGTCCATCAAACAGACCTGGACTGAGAGACCATTTAAAAGACTTTGCAGGTGTTTTGAGCTAATCAGCTGATTAGTGTGTGGCACCAGGGGTCTTCAATATTGAACCTTTTCACAATATTGAATTTGGAGTTTTCATAGTAATAATCATCGACATTAAAAGAAATAAACATTTGAAGTCTATCAGTTTATGTAATAAATGAATATAATATACAAATGTTACTTTTTGAATGGAATTACTGATTTAAATTTTTTTTTCATGATATTCTAAATTTTTGACCAGCTATACTAGGGAGTTGTGAATTAGACGAAACACCTGGGCTGATAAGTTAATTGATTACAGGTATGAGTCCTTAGAGCAGCGGTCAGACTGAGGAGGAGGGAGAGAGAAAGTGGCACAGGGGAACAGGACACAATTCTAACTCTAAAGAATAACTTGATAAAAAAAAACTAAAGAAACACAATAAAGTAGAACAACATAAAATAACTAGAAACAAGAAACATAACTAGAATTACTAAGGAATAGCAGGAGTGGAAAACAGTGAAAACTAAACAGAAAAACCTAAGAGACACCAAAAATCCGAAACCAAACTCAAACAACCCCAGATCACAATAAGGTCCCTGTCCAACTGTCTTTGTCTCAGTTCCAGGCATTGTATATGAGAAAACCTTGATAATCATATATTTTCTTGCAGTCATTTCATGTCAGATGAAGATTAGGTTGTTTTTGTAATTGAATACAAAATCTATTCAATTACAGGCTGAAGTATTCTAAATGTTAGAGTATGAGATTATGCTCCTAAAATAAAACATTACCTTATTTTAAAGTTTTTTACATACTTTAATTTAGTGCCAATAAATATGGTGGTTTGTATATGTAGAGAAAATAACAATTAAGCTAGAAACAACAACTGATCCAGAATATGTTGTCTTCATCTGCACGATTTGCATGTGTGACTTTTATAGCTCTGTTTGTGCTTTTTTAAATTGGAAAAAAGACAGGACGTTTTAATAGTTTTCATAAAAGCTGCATTATGTTCTCTAGTTGGATCGAGCTGGCAATGAAAAATGTAGCTCATTAACCTGAGATGAGCAGGATGGGATTATCAGATATACTTCAGTTCAAAGTTTTTCCTTAATCCATCCTCCTTGTGACGATCTGTGTTTTCTGTGTAGTTATTTTTGAGGTTTTTCTGTGTTTTAGTTCTGTTTCCTCTGTGAGTCACTGTGATGTCCTGTCCTCCCTGCTGATTGCTCCCAGCTGTGTCTAGTTTTCCTGATTACCCTCCCTGTGTATTTAAACCCACCTGCTGTCTTTCTCTCTTGTCAGTTGTTGTCGAACATCTATGCTCTGCAGTTGAACTACGAAGTCCTGATTAGCTTTAACCCTTTTATGCCAGAGTTTCAAGCGTCTGCCTAAATAAACCTTTCTTATTTTAATTGTAAGTAGTTCTTAAATGTCCTGTGAGATGATATACTTACCCATGTATCGATAACAACTGGAACTTTCAATATCCAGCAAGTTATTTTCGCAATATACCGTCTATAAAACGAGTGCCCCCCGGATTAATTACACTCTCTGCAGCTGTGAAGTTGCCGTATTAACCCGATACTTGCTGGAAAGTGCAACGTCTCCCCTTTCAGAAACCGTTGGGATTTTTCAGATAGCGCTACGTGTGGCGGAATTACGGTACTGCAAATTTGGATGTGTCGCCGGCGACACATCCCCGCCTAAAAGGGTTAACTCTCGAGTTAAAAGGGTTAACGAGAGTTAAAAGGGTTAACTCTCGTTTTCTCGTTTTTTTTTCTATGCCATGCCGTCTGCATTTGGACTGTTTGAGCTTTTATCATTAAATTCATCATTTTCTTCACAACCTGGGTCTCAGCGTTCATCCTCACCACCTCCCACTCACCACATCATGACACTCCTCTGGTTTACAAGCGTCATGATGGGTGGAACCAGAGACACTCCCTTTGGTAATTTGATATTTACATGCGAGCTCAAACCAGTTTCTGTTCTACAGAAGAGAAACTCACACAGTCGTGACCGAGAGCTGAAATGGCGCAAAGAGTTCAACTTTTTCACAGCTCTGCTGGACCTGAAGATGTGGCTTGTGATGTTTGTGAGGAGAGGAAGAGGAAAGCTGTCAAGTCTTGCTTCACTTGTTTGGCCTCTTATTGTGAAGATCACCTCCAGCCTCACCATGATGCTCCACCTTTAAAGAAACACAAGCTGGGGAATCCCTCCAAGACTCTCCAAGACAACATCTGCTCTCGTCATGATGAGGTGATGAAGATCTTCTGTCGTACTGATCAGCAGTGTATCTGTTTTCTTTGCACTATGGATGAACATAAAGGCCATGAAACAGTCCCAGCTGCAGCAGAAAGAGCTGAGAAAAAGAAGGAGCTCCAGGAGAGTCGACAACAAATCCATCAGAGAATCCAGGACCAAAAGGAAGATGTGAAGCTGCTTCAACAGGAGGTGAAGGCCATCAATGTCTCTGCTGAAAAAGCAGTGGAGGACAGTGAGAAGATCTTCACTGAGCTGATCCGTCTCATCCAGAAAAGAAGCTTTGAGGTGAAGCAGCAGATCAGATCCCAGCAGGAAACTGAAGTGAGTCGAGTCAAAGATGTTCGGAAGAAGCTGGAGCAGGAGATCACTGAGCTGAAGAGGAAAGACGCTGAGCTGGAGCAGCTCTCACACACAGAGGATCACACCCAGTTTCTCCTCAACTACCCCTCACTGCCAGCACTCAGTAGGTCTAAACACTCATCCAGCATCAACATCCGTCCTCTGAGACACTTTGAGGACGTGACAGCAGCTGTGACAGAGAGCAGAGATAAATTAAAGGGTGTCTTGAAAGACACATGGACAAACATCTCAAAGAGACTAACTGAGGTTGAGGTTTTACTGTCTAAGCCATATTCAGTAACTAGATTTTCTTTTTTAAAATATTCACAAAAAGTCACTCTGGATCCAAACACAGTTAACAAAAATCTGTCCTTATCTGAGAGTAACAGAAAAGTAAAAAAAATGGCAGAACAACTGCCTTATCCTGACCATCCAGACAGGTTTACTCAGCATTCTCAGGTCCTGACTAGAGAGAGTCTGACTAGACGTTGTTACTGGGAGGTGGAGTGGGGAGGAGGAGGAGGTGGGGTGGTAGCAGTTTCTTACAAGAACATCAGCAGAAAAGGACAATTTGGATTGAATGACAAATCTTGGTCATTATTTTGTACCACAGACAAATACACATTTAAGCACAACAGCATTGAAACTCCAGTACCAGGTCCAGTTTCCTCCAGAATAGGAGTGTACCTGGACCACAGAGCAGGTATTCTGTGTTTCTACAGCGTTTCTAAAACCATGACTCTCCTCCACAGAGTCCAGACCACATTCACTCAGCCACTACATGCTGGGGTTGGTCTTTTCTTAAAGTCAGCCTCTGCTGAGTTCATTGAGCTTAGTCAGCAGTGATCTGAGGTCCACTTGGTTAAAATGTGTATTCTAGTTTCTGTTTTAGTCTTCATCATTGTTGTAGAGAGCTCATTGACGTCATTTCTTCATTGCTCAGAAATCAGCTGTTTTTATGGACTTACTTTGTTGTCTTTTGTTGATGTTGAAGTTTTTTTTTTTGAGTGCTGCCCCTTATTCTTTACTCGGGAGGATTTTGAATAACCTAAAATAATTACAGTTATATTTATTTTATTGCTTTGTCAGACCAACTGTTGTTCAAATCCTTATACAGATAGCCTGAAGAAAATGTAATTATTCTCATCATTCAGGCCATCAGTCATTATTTTTTTTGACAAATATTAGATGATTTTTGACATTTGTTATTGTTTTTAAATATCAGGAATTTCAGCTTCAACATGTGTTGTCTCTTTAATTAATGCACATCACAGTTCAGGAATCCTGAAAGAACAAGAAAAGGTTTAGCCACATAATATTCTCAAGAGTTTGTAAAGCTTCATTTCATTGAAAAAAACACTGAAAACATTTTTCTGTGTAACTGTAAAAAACCTCTCCAGAACGACGTCCACATGAAGATATTCATTCATTTGTAAATTTAGCTGAGAAGCAAAGTCCCTCCTGTATGTTTATGTAGAGATCTGAGGTTCTGAGTGGAGTTGTATAGTAATGGGCATTGATTACATTCCCTGCTATGCTTTTTTGTTTTCACCATATAGGACTTCATACAACAGTCATTATTGGTTATTTGTTTTTTACTTTAATGATTAAATCAGTGTGTTTTATTGTAAAAATCTGAATAAACTGAATCTGTGAGAAAAATGTCTTGGTCATTCAATTTTTGCATATGCTGCTATCAGCAGTTCAAGAGTTCAGTCATTATTCCCGAAACATGATTGTAATTCAAACACCTGTAAACACAATGAGTAGCACACTTGGTCCTCATTCACACAGAAACACAATCTGCAAACACACACACACTTCACATGAGAACATGAGCTATCTTTGGTCATAAATCCATGTAGAAACAGTGGGCGTGTTTTTCCAAAGCTGCCTTGTAGTGTTTGAGGAAGCTGAGGAGTTGAATGCTACTAAATTTCCTGGTGCCAATGTTTTTCTGAATGTTTTCCATGCAGCAGCCATCACTGCACACATGTAGCAACACAAACAAACAAATCAACAGTGAGGTGACAAGGTCCTGATTATGAAAATGCATTCTCCTCTGGCATGGATAAGACTGTACTTTAACTAGATCTGTGGTCATACAAGGACATAAGAGTTGTCTGTGTTTAGAGTTTCTCTCTCAGTTTTTTGCTGTATTGAAATACATTGAAAATTTCATGTATTCTGCTATAATTTTAATACTGTTGAGACTGGAGAGCAGGTTCTGGATCAAAGTGGTCATGGAAATGAATTAAAAACAACAGAAAATTACTGAACATTATCAGATTATAGTATTTTAGTGTGCATATATAAGTGTTGACATTTACAACATTTAGTTTGTGCAGATACAGTAAGTGATTGGATCTAAAATATGTTATCCAATAACCTGTGACTGAAAATGTTTTATTTGAAACTTTTAATAACTCTGTAGAAATCCTTAAAATCAGTAAAAGATTTATTGTAACGTTTTACTCTTTAGATATTTTATGATTTTGTATGTGAATTTTATTTCCTTTTTTTACTTCTGCTTTTAGTTTTAAAATTCTTTAGAATATATTGTCTTTGGACTTAAAGAGTAATGATGAAAAGTCAGCACAGAGCTTCAGTTATTACAACTAAAAACTAGCGATCAGGCCCAAAACCTGGGAGTAGTGATGGACTTTGACCTGAACATTCAGAGCCACATAAAGACGGTTACACAGTCGGCCTTCTATCATCTGAAGAACATCTCCAGGATTAGAGGACTAATGTCTCAAAAAGATCTAGAGAAACATCCATGTGTTATCTTCAGTCGTAATGATGACTGCATCAACGTCTTCACAGGTCTGACTAAAAAATCAATCCTCCAGCTGCAGCTGATCCAGACGCTGCTGGTGGTGTTCTGACTAAAACCAGGAAGGTAGAGCACATAACTCCTTCCAAAAACATGACTGTTAGGTGAACTGTTTAATTCTTGAGTGTCAGTGCCGCAGGACCCCGTCCAGGATCTACTGATAGCGCTCCTGTAAGGATAAACAGATCAACAACAGATGGACGAACAACTGATCTCCTCTAGTAAAATCTGAAGCAAGATTGAATTATTTAAAAGGAAGACTGGATGAAGTTCTTAACAGATTCCCATGTGTTACATTTTCCAACTTGCATTAAAACACTTTTCACCAGTTTCAGAAACCACTGGTGAAGCAGCAGCAGAGAGGAGGGTTAGATTACAACCAGGCCTTTTATGTTAAACTTTTACAGAGCGATGAATTGTCCCAGAAGTTATTGTGATGAACGATAATATTGTTCTTTTGTGACAATTTTCAAATAATCTAATGATAATGGCATAACTATGCAAAAACACATTCTTAAAGAACAATAAACTTTAAATTCTAATGAACATTTAACACTGGAAATGGAATAGATATTAAAGAGCCAAAATAAGCAAAGCACATAAAATGAGTTATGAAATCTCTGTAAACAAAATTGCCCTTCAAACAAAGGGCTAGTTGAGCCAAAGCATCAAACCGGAGACTTTTATCATCCAGTTTTTGGTAGAAAGAGAGAAGAGAGAGAAACAAATGGATAATTTATTGATTTATTGTGACAGGCCTACAGTTTCTGCCCTAGTTTCCTCGGTACTTTCAACATTCCTGTCTGAACTTGTGCTGCTTGTGTGAATTGACAACAAGCGTAAAGTTTGGACCTTAGTTTGTAGTTTATTCATTGAGTTGTGTTAATTCAGATGTGAACTTTTTTTCATTTTAAAAATAATGGTAAGGGAAAAGTGAGTATTTGTCTCTGTTTAGAAGATCTGAAGAACTAATTTAGTCCTTTCCAAACTTCATATCAGAGTAGGTGGAGCCACAAACATTCCAGCAACATGTTCAGATATTTAAGTAACAGCCATTTCTAACATAAAAGATGACTCATATTTCTGCTGTATTAACAGGACTTATGTCTCATCCAGGTTTACAGTTATTCAGTGTTTAACAGTTGTAAGCTTCTTCTAGTCACAGTGAAGGTTTCTGTACAAGGCCATGGAAAGTATGGATGAGGAGTCCACAATATCTAAAACTCCAATGAATAAAATATAACTGAGTTTAATCAATCAATCAAATTTTATTTGTATAGCACATTTCAGCAGCAAGGCATTTCAAAGTTCTTTACATCTTTACAAACACAAAAACACAGAGTCATGCAACACTGAATCAACAATCAAAAGCGTTACATTAAGTCAAATGCCATCATTAAATTCATAATTAATTACGTTTCAAATACAGCTCTAAACAGGGTCACTCAGAGATACTATTTTACTATTTATTTTAGAAAAGGAAACATATTCTTCAGCCGAGATTTGACAACCAACAACATAAGATTCATCTTACTTGATGAATAATGCAGTTATGGATCCTAAACTAATTCGAACCTAACAACAATAATCTCAAAGTGAATTAATTTTTTTTTTAATTTCACACAGGATTAACTAACAGTAAATGTGAAGGTTATTTCTGCCTCAAAAATCTTTTCTTACCGCTCCTATTTTTGTAATTTCTCTTCGCATCTCCCATGACAGAGGACTCAAACATGTTCATGTGTGGTGCCAGGTAGGACTGAATGATCTTAAGGTGAAAATATAAGGGGAAATTCAAAATGAGTGAAAAACATCCATTTAAACCCCAGACCTTAGAGGGTTAAAGGTGCACCAAATGTATACCTTACACTCAGATCCATTGCCATAACAACCGAGTAACAACAAATCCATTAGCTGACAGAGCAGGCACAGTGTTAAGTATCACTTACTGTTTTTAAGTCCCTTCTTAAGACCCATCTTTTTTCTTTGGCTTTTGGCACAATCTGAGATGTTTCACCTTGTTTTATTCTGTCTGTATATTAATATGTATTTTATATTTGATTTTTTTTTCTATTTTATAATTGCATCGTATTTTATGATTGTGTTTTGGTAAATAAAGTGCTTCATAAATAGTTAGTATGGTATGGTATCAGGTAGATGTGTGCCGATCGATCGGTCACCGATCATAATCGGCCGATTTTCGTGACAAAGTGCATGATCGGTGATCGGCGATCATTGGCTCTTGTTACCGATACTGATCACCTCATTTCGCTGCCTGCCTGTGCAGCTGGTCTCCTCTTTCCTTCACTCTGCACAAACGCGTAGCAACAAATCCTAAGCGATGTGGAACTATAACGCACTGAGTGAAAGGGGAAGTTTGCTGCGGAAAATTGAAGCACGTCAAAATGCATCAACACAACGAAGCTAGTACGACATAAAAACAATGCCATACTTGACTGAGATTGGCTACATCGAGGCTCACTGCAGTAAAAAAGACATATCCTCCTGACTACCAGGAAAAAAAATATTGTCCAATCACCTTTTTTTTTTTAAAATCCCACAGTCTTTGTAAGGTAATAAAAGGTTTTATGCACTTACTTTGTCTCGTCCCATAGAATGTGTTATTACTGATGAACACAATTTTTATGTATTAGAAAAAGATACGAACAAAAATCCCACCCCTTCATATGTGGCATCATTGAAAAGCCCTAAATGTCCTCTCCAGATACCAAAAGGAATTAATTCAGTAGAA